TTAAAGTTTGTATTTGTATATCCGTACAGATAATAGATTGCAGTCAATCATTTATCTTTTTATACATATTCTGATAAATTCATATCATAAAGCAAATTAATTGTAAAACTAAAACATAATGAATTACAAAAAAAAATGTTAATATCATTAATTCAAATATCAGAATAGATAATATTACTTACATTACATTGTAAATGATTTATCTATTATAATTGACCAAAAAATATTATTATTAATTAAATCTAATGAATACTAAATTTTTTTTGCATTAATTAATACCTAAGAAAGTCATATTAATCTAACAAACTTTTAAAGGACCAGTTAACATTATTATACCTTCTAATTATAATATATTAAAATCATAATACAATCTAACTGATCTTATAAGTATCACTAATAGTTGTAACTTACTAGTTATGAAAAACTGCAAATATCTAATAAATTTTTTTAAACGATTAATCTTAGAGTTTAAATCTGTATATTTTTATATTTCCATAAATATATATTCATAATATAAATTTAATATCTGTTATTCATATAAAAATTAAACATGAATATGGATATTTAAAAAAATTAAACGGTAATTCATATTCATATTATTCATGAATATACAGATAATATGAATAATAATGATATATGGATAATATGAATATTGATACAATCATTCCCAAAAGAACAATATAATTACTTTCAAAGAATAATATATTATTATTCTTTTTTATCATTCTTTTATAACGATACATCATTATTTTAAAAGAACAATTATTTTTTATTATTTTATCAGAATGATACATAATTATTCTAAAAAAACAATTTTTTTAAAAAATAAAATATAGATTTCTTTTGTTATTTTATAGAGTTAGAAATACTAATAATGAATTATAACTAATTATAGTATAATATTTTTTTCATTGTTTTTTCAGAATATATTGTATATCATCATTTTGAAAAACAATTTATTTTATTATTATTTTAAAAGAAATGATTTTTTTCATCATTCTTTTGGAATAATATATAATTGTTCTAAAAGAACAATATTTTTTTTTCATTATTCTTCAGAATGATACATTATTATTCTGAAGAACAATTTTGTTATCATTCTTCATATCTAATTATCTATGAATATAAGGGTTAATTCATAAATAATCCATACAAAATTATTTATCTATAGATATTATTTGAAGTAATAAATGATTGACTGCAATCTATTATCTGTACGGATATACAAATACAAACTTTAACCAATCTCATACAGACACATGTATCATATGTATACTTGCTTTAAAAGTTTGTTAGCTCTTTAAACTTTTGTAATATTTGAATTCTTATTTGCAAACTTTTTACAAGTACATCAGCAGCCTTTCATAAATAAGATACTCAGGTTGATCTTTATAACAATTTAACAATTTATCCAGTTTCTATGGAATGTATAAATAGTCCTGTCAAATATCACAATTTAGTCATAAAAAATGTGTAAAATGATAATTGTTTATTTGTTAAGTTGTTTTTTTTTAATGTTAAAGGTATATATTTATAGTACGTTCTAATAACCGATAATTACATGTGATTTTGGATAAACTTTATGGACGTAATTTTTTAGATTATAATAATTGGTTTTTATTTATTTTAATCGTAATGAAAAAAATGAGAAACAGGTATTCTTTATTTATTTATTTTGAACAAAATCATTAAAGCTTTTTATAAATTAATTCTATTTGTGATTAATGCAAAATTATCCAAAATTATAAATAGCTTTTATTTTGTGATGGTGTAATGTGCAAATTGTACATGTCATGTATTATTATTTCCTGATGCAATTTCAATGTAATCTAACCACTATTGAGAATTTAATTGTACCAATTCTTTCCGCAAAGCTGCTTCGGTTTCAATTTTTTTTTTCTGAAATAAAAAAATTTTATACAACTACTTATCGAAAATAAATGTTATCATGTTATCAATATTTACCTGTGTGAGTTCCAACTTATCTCCATTCTTTTGTCTGTCTTTAAGTTCAGCGATTTGTCGTAATTTCTTTGTTAAATTTCTAATCTTTTTATCCGTTTCTGATAAATTGCTCGTAGATTGCTGTGTGGAATCGGATTTTGCCGTGTCAGTGTCAATAAGATTATCGGTTGAATTAACCACTTCGGGAATACCATTATTTATTATCTCATTGTTAACGGGAGATGTTGGGGAAACTATTAAAGTTTCTAAATGTGTTACGAAAATGTTAATTCAGGCAAATTCAAAAATATAAATTCAAATCATGATCTAATGAAATGAAAGAAGAAAGACCTTTATCATCAGAGCTATCAACAGTTTCCTTGACGGATTCTTCTTCTCTTCTCTTTTTAGCTTCACGTTTCTTTTTATTTTTAACGGCAGCTTTGGACATTACTACATATTTTTAATTATACAATTTAATATCAACAAATAAATAAATAAAAGACGTTCAATAATAATTGTACTTACTTTCCGGTGTTCCTGCGGGTTTGGCACCGTTTTCTTGAACCTTTTTATTCGTTTCTTCCTCACGCTACAAAAATGTAAAAGAATGATAAGTAACCAATTATAAATATATTGTAAGAAAAGATAAAGAAACGGTGTAAAAGAGTGCCTTGAAAATACTAGCAGCTGGTGTACCGCGGGCACGTGCTTGTGGTGGTAAATATGCGCCTGCTTTTATAGCTGTTTAAATAAATATAATATATAAATATAATAACCTCGACAGTCGATAAATTATATAAGTTAATAACAAAAGAACTTACGTGAAGGTTTTGTAGGTGACGTAGAACTCTTGACATTTTCAGGTGCCGGAGATAAAGACTGTCGCATAGGATAAAATTCAACACTCGCGGGCCGCCATTGAACCTATAAACGCATTTAATAACATAATCAATATAATATTTTTTTTATAGGACTTCATATTTCATTCAAGAAAAACTAACCTGTAATAATTCTTGAATATTCTGACTATGTACCAAACCACCAGTATAATGCCAAATTTTATAACCGTTATCCACTCGAAGTCGTGGACTTAATGTCGCTGTTATAATATAACGTCCATCCGGTGACCAGAAACATTCCGACGAATTAGGAGCTTCTACAGTTGCTATCTTTTTCAATGAATTACGATCCCAAATGTCCATTGTTCCATTTAAATTACCAAATCCGGCAATAAATATCAGTAGATATCAGAAATATACCATAAAGATCAATGACGTTAAGGAATTATAAAGTTTCTAATGTATTTGAATGAATGTATAATATTTGCCATAAATATAATGAAAGGATATGTCGTCCTTGAGGATTAAATTTAACAGTATTACGAAATTCGGTACCGAATTCATGTATAGGATTTGCGCGATGATCAAATAACGTTGCCTTTGCAGGCATATCTAATTCATATTCATTATTGATCTATTAAATACTGTCAAACAAAGAAATAAATAAATAAATTGATTACTTACAACCATAGATAACTACAAATTCTTTTGAGTTTGGACTCCACGTAACATCATGAATTGGACCATCTTTGTCTGTTAATTAATTCACATTATATTATTAATCATATCAAGTACATAATAATAAAAAATTTTTTAAATAACTACCAAGACCAACGCGACAATCGTAATTGGCGGCTACTGATAAAAAGTACAAATTTGTTTCTAAGGAGAAAATTAGCAATTACTCGTGTTAAGTTCTTTTTTTTTTTAAAAAAAAAAAAAAAACGAAAAGTAAATAATAAATAAATAAAACGGAATAGTTACCTCCGTAATATGATTTATTCGATTTATCTACATCAGTTTGAGTTAGAACTAATAGATTAGTACCTAAATCGTTCCATTGCATTTGGATTTTGTCAGCTTTATAAAAAGTTTTTTGTGCCAAAGGAGCGTTAAAGTTGGTAATGGAATATATTCTAACAATAGCAGGTGCGGCCTATAATACACCATCATTATGAAATTTAGAAAGTATAATAATTGAACTATGTATTAAGAAAAATTGGCTTACTTTTTTCTCTGGGATAAAAACACCTATCGAGGGACTCTTTCCGGGTGATAAAGAAAAATCGCTAATATTTTCCAAACGTAATTTACTATGAATTCCTTTATCCAAACGTTTACTGTCATAAAAATGGACCTCTCCAGTAACGAGTCGACCAAAAAACGCTTCATCTTCAGTCCATTGAACATTCCTATATGTAAAATATTAACTGAATTTTTTAACAAACATATATATTTTATAAAATGTAGAATCAACAAACTAACTAACCAATTGTTCTGACTCTTTTGAGTGAAAGAAATCAATTCCTCTCTAGTAAGCACCTCCCATATAATCAAATTCTTATGAACTGAACCATCAGAAAATTTAACTAATATGGGTCAATATAAATACATTTTTTTTTTAATAAACGTAAGGTATTAGATTAATAATAAGCAAAATGGCACAATTTGGTTGATTTGACTCACCTGGACGCTCCCAAGTAGAAATATATGTTCCTTTTGGTGAGAATCCGATTTCAACGATTTTTTTCTTTGGAGCTTTACTCGCAAGCTGAGCGTTTTTGGCATCATCATCAACAATATTTTCATTTGGAATTTCATCCACGGTTTCAGTATCAACACCTTTCACCTTTTTTTCCTTTGGAATTTCACTCTTAAGTTGAGCATTTTCAGTATCAATGATTTTTACGCTAAAAAATTGAATTAAATAAGTATCTTTTTTTCGCTATAACAAATAAAACAAATCAATTGAAAATTTACCTTTCCGGAGAGGCCCAACCAAGATATTTACCATCCTTACTATATTGAAAAGTTTTGACGTTGCCACCGGGACTATTGAAGGTATAGATAAAATAAGGAATATTATTAAAAAAAAATGAAAATTGACAATAACTACTCAAACTAGTTCATTTTTAATATATACTTTTGAAAGTTTTTTACTGGCTTATAATTTGGGTGTCCAAAAACTAAACCCAAATTACTAGCCGAACGATCTATTAAACAAGTACAAAATTTTTTTTTAGTCGAAATACATTCAAGAAATACTCTGTTTGATCAACTTACAAGCAAATTGAGTAGGTGGTGTGTCAGTCATGATTTGTAAAAATAAGAAATTTGTTAAAAATAAATTGATTTAAGATTTTTGATCAAAAAAAAATTTTTCACATCAGACTTTTTTATAGTGCCACAAATTTATTTTCAGGATGCGATTAACTTATTTGCAAATTCTAATTTTTTGTCCTTTAACTTCATTTGGTTCAAATTATAAATGCGAAACTTTTTTGAAACCGTCAATCTTGAAATAAATAATCATTTAATCGTTCTTTTCTTATTTTCTTACTTCCTTCTCATAATCTGTATTATTAAATCACTTTTCTTATATTAAGGTTTTTAATAACTAACACTACCAATTTTTTTAACAAAAAATTTTATCTATTTAATTATATTACTATTATAAATTTAAAAAATTATTCAATATAAAAATGTTAATTTAAATAAAATAAGATTACTTTAATTAATACACTTATTTTAAACTAATTTTATAAAATAATCTCTATTTTTTTTTTTAAGAATAATGAAATTATTTGTAATAAAATAATATCCCTTAAATGGTAATGATTTTCATTCAAATTTAGTTATATTTTTTTATACATAAATAATTTAAATATATAAATAAATGTTTTAAATATAAATTTATATATTTTGTAAAGTTTTTTTAATAATAAAAAATAAATAAAAATTAAAAATTTTAGCTTTTATAAAGAAAATACTTTTATTAAAAAATTTTCAAAACTTTGATCTTAGATTAATACAAAAAATTACTAATTAATGTAATTTTTTTTAATTTTACTTAAAAAAACATTATAAATTTTATTATAAAAATATTATTAGTTTGATAACTAATTTTTAATATATGGGAACTTTGTAATAGAAAGTGAGGAAACTCTAAAAAAATTTTTTTTTTTTGAGTTAATGTTGAATTTGAACTTATTTTACAAAAAAAAATCATATTTAACTTAAAAAGTAAAATTTTAATTTTTTTAGAGTTTTCTTCCTTTCTATTGCAAAGCTCTCATATTTAAAATTAACTTTATTAATCTTTATATTAATATAAAATATTAAAATTAATAAAAAATAAATCTATATTAATCATTCAATTTGGTTATTTATATTATAAAATTAATAATAATTATTAAATAAATTATTTTAAAATTCTTGTATTATTAATTGATATGATATTGTTATATGAAAATGATATGGATGACTCAGATGACAGATATGACTGCGGTAACTAAAATGTCATATATGTCTTCTATATCATATATTTTATATATTTCTTTTATTTCTTATATTATATATACTGTATATCTTTTGTTGCTTATATCTCTTATATTTTATATATTTATTCTAGTTATTATATCTCTTATATTATTTATATTTTCTATATGTCTTCGGACACTTTATGTATTCATTTTTATATAAATATACCTTGAGTCTTAGAGTAGTTAACAGAAGAAAATTTTGAAGTAAGTTTAGAATAGTCAGAGTACTTTCTTAGATAGTTTGATTTAATATAAAACATTTGCACAGTACAGAGCGCTGACAGAGGCAATACTCATTTGTTAAAACATATTGAATAAACAATCGACCTTTTTGACTCAATCCATATCGACTTATAAACTTATACCTTCTGCTTACCTTACCACGCTTTTAACATTTAAGCAGTCCCAAAGAACTGCCTATAACAATATGAGACTTTTATAATAAAAAAAAAAAAATTTAGAATAAATGAAATTTACTAAAATTGAACATATGGGAGGCAGTCAATAGAAAAGGAAAAATCCAAATTTTGATCAAAATTTATATTATTGGACACTTGGCTGATCTTAGTCAATTGTACAAAATTAGCTTAATAATTAAAATTAACAAAAATTTTGGATTTCCCCCTTTTCTATTAACTGCCTCCTATATATTAATCTGAAATTTTATTTAGCATTTAAAAGTAAAATTGATTTTTCCTATATTTATTTCTCTTTAATTAAAAAAGTCTTATATGTATTTTAAATATTATTATATTTTATAATAATAATTTACTTTTATTATCATATATAAAATTTAAATTTAAGTTTTATAAGTTTTATCTATTTAATAATTTTAACTTCAAATTTAAAAGCAATTTGCTTTTAAATTAAAAAAATAAATTTAAAATATATATTTATAAAATTGAAGTTAAATTTTATATATATATATAAGAACAGTGTGTAAAATCTAAACCAAAAATCATGTGCACAGTATACATATTTTTATGACATCATATGTGCACAAAATAATTTGAATGTACACAGAATTTTTCTAAAAATAGCATATGCATAATATGTATACTATTAAACATTCGAAAGATGTACATAAAATGTTTATAGATAAAATTTAATGTGTATTAAATGTGCTCAATATCAAATTATAATATTTATTTACAAAAAGTTAAAGAATAATTACAGAAAAAAAAATTAACAAATAGTTATAACTATTTTTGATTAAATCTAGGAATCCCATTCCAAAAAGTATATGCTTTTTCATAATCATAATTACTAAAATCTTTAGGACTATTTAAAGAAAGAAGTAAATGAAGATTTAATGTTTGTATTGACATTTTGTTATGCAAATTTGTTTTAATTAAATTTTGATGTGAAAAAACATGTTCAATAACACTATTTGATAATGGAATTATTAAGGCTAATTAAAGATGAGCACCATAATTAAGAAGTTGCAACTCGGTAAGTTGCAACTTGGTTGCAACTCCTTGTAAATTTATTTTAATATAAAAATTCATAAAATGTTGCAACTTAAAGTATTGCAACTTAAGTTGCAACTAGGTAAAAATTTTAAAAATAATTATGAGAACCATCTTTAAGGCTAATTTAATAAGTTTTATTAAATTGGGAAATTGATCATGAAAACTAATATTATATTAAAAATACGATACTATGCTTCAATAAATTGAAAATCTTTGTAATCACAAAGAATATTGTGAGCTATCCTCTATTCTTTAATTAGAGCATTTCCATTTAATAAAGTTTTACATACAATATTGCTTTCATTTTTTTAGGTTTTTCATAAAATTCTACTAAAGTTTTGATTTCATT